CCAACATCAGGCTGTCACCATCGAGTGTGTTTCTCCCGGTTTAGGCAATGACATCCAATACAACACCACTCTCAGAGTCACATAACAAAAAGTTTAATACCAAAAGTTTGCCCGGTACATACTGTTTGAATGACAGTTGTCCCTTGAACAGAATCATGGACTCATCGACAACAGCGTTCTTGAAGGAATAAAAGTAGGCATTGAATTTCTGCTTCATATGCATAAACACTTCCCAGATTTTGTATAGGTTATTTATGTTGGGCCTATTCCTATCTGAGAAGTGCAATATACGTAGCAACAGAGTGAATCTGTTGGAGGGAAGGAGGTCACGGAAGACAGGAGTACTGACGAAGTAGTTTGTGGACCAGTACCGTGCTATATTGTGCTTATACATATGAGGCATAAGCATGATAGTGCCAAGGAATAAATACATTTCAGTCATAGTTGTATCTTTCCAATTGCACAGCATGATGATTCTGCAACCTCTGTGTTGTCCATTATATAGCAGTAGTAATTGTTCATCTGGGTGACAATCAAGTCACCCAAAGTATACGCTAAAAAACTCGTCTAACGATATTCGTTCTCGAGTACCAATTAATATCATTAGGTGAGGGTCCACTGTAATTGGAAATACATAGCCTACCTCTGTAGATTCATTCATGATGGGACATTCTGGGAGGATGCCACTTTCATTGGCATTAAAATCAAAAGGATGAGGCATGAATGTACTTTCTGTCCAGTTCCACTCATGGTCAGATGGTGCAGAGTGGACCTGTGGTATGGGGTATGGGGGAGCAGGAGGAGGGACGGAAGTGGAGGCAGCACTTGGTTGAGGGGGTGCCGGGTTGTCCTTTGTCTGCCTGTCCACTATGCCATGTGGCCCAGGCACCATGCCACCCACCACCGCCACCTCCTCCTCCTCCTCCATCCCCGCATATTCTCCTTCATGATCAGCATCACTGTCAGCGGACGGGGTTTTTGATCATGACCTCCCACGACCCTTGAGGACTGCATATGGCACACTGCCTGAACGTAGACGATGACACCTAAAAGTACATTTCACTGGGGAATAATATACATCACTGTCACCCGAAGAATCCTCTATGAGCATAAAATCAATCACATTGTCTCTTATATCACTTTCACTATCATCACCAAAACTGCAAGAAAATGATAATTTCCGCTTGCGGCGGCGGCGGCAGCGGCAGCAGCAGCAGCAGCAGCAGCAGTAGTAGTAGTTGTTTTTTTTATGGATTTACAAAAGGCATATGACAGAGTGGATAAGGGAGCAATGTGACAAGTAAACAGAATATGTCGTAACTAAATGCTGAAAAGAGTTTTTATGAGGATAGTGAGGCTCAGGTTAGGGTGTGTAAAAGTAAAAGTAGGTCTTAGACAGGGATGTGTAATGTCACCATGGTAGTTTAACATATTTATAGCTGGGGAGAGAGGTGGTATTAAATTATGGAGAAAAATACAAAATGGGAGTTAACACAGTTACTTTTTACTGATGATATTGTGCTTAAAATACTCTCCCAGTATAGGACTTTAACAGAAACAGTGTATCATGCCATGACTTAACCATTCCCATTACTAAATTTACAAACTGTAATACTGTTATCCTAGGTAGTAGGTTGGTAGACAGCAACCACCCAGGGAGGTACTACCGTCCTGCCAAGTGAGTGTACAACGAAAACCTGTAATTGTTTTACATGATGGTAGGATTGCTGGTGTCCTTTTTTCTGTCTCATAAACATGCAAGATTTCAGGTACGTCTTGCTACTTCTACTTGCCCTTAGGTCACACTACACATACATGTACAAGCATATATATACACACCCATCTGGGTTTTCTTCTATTTTCTTTCTAGTTCTTGTTCTTGTTTATTTCCTCTTATCTCCATGGGGAAGTGGAATAGAATTCTTCCTCCGTAAGCCATGCGTGTTGTAAGAGGCGACTAAAATGCCAGGAGCAAGGGACTAGTAACCCCTTCTCCCGTATAAATTACTAAATTTAAAAAAGAAACTTTCGTTTTTCTTTTTGGGCCACTCTGCTTTGGTGGGATACGGCCGGTTTGTTGAAAAAAAAAAAAAAAAATATGTGTGTGTGTGTGTGTGTGTGTGTGTGTGTGTGTGTGTGTGTGTGTGTGTGTGTGTGTGTGTGTGTGTGTGTGTGTGTGTGTGTGTGTGTGTGTGTGTGTGTGTGTGGTGTGTGTGTGTGTGTGTGTGTGTGTGTGTGTGTGTGTGTGTGTGTGTGTGTTTGTTTGTTTTTGCCGAATAGGCAGAACTTGCGATCATGGCTTAAATAGCAACGCTCATCTTGCCATATAGGACAAGTGAAAATTTGTGTATGCAATAATTTCGCCAAAATCATTCTGAACCTAACGAAAAAAATATATTTCATTGTGTTTGTTTATTACTAAATTATTGTAAACGTATTTAAAATATATTTAGTTGGGTTAGGCTAAAATAAATTACACTTGTTATAATAAGGTTAGGTAAGTTTTCTAAGATTCTTTTGGTCCAAAATTATAAATTTTTACATTAACATTGATGAAAAAAATGTATCTTTAACCCTTTCAGGGTCCGTCCCGTAGATCTACGGCTTTACAGTGAGTGTCCAAACCGTAGATCTACCCCATGAGCTCAGCTCTCACTGATAAACTGTGAGTGGTACATTTGGGCCTAGATATGAGAGAATACATCTATGTGGTATGTGTGCACCACATAAAACAGATCCTGCAACACACTGTGTATAATGAGAGAAAAAAACTGAAATCATGATTTTTCGATTAAAACAGCAACTTTGCAGTGTTTTTTCGCATGTTTTTTATAGTTGTATTTGCGATTTCTTGGTCTCATTTGATAGAATGGAAGACATATTACAGAAATAGAGATGATTTTGATTGGTTTTTAGCACTGGAAATGGCTTGAAACTGAGCTCAAAGTAGCGGAAATGTTAAATTTTTGCCGATATTCAAGAGTAAACAAACGACCTCACACGTCTAATACACGTCAGCTGGTGGGTCTAATATACATTCACAAATATGGTGATGATATTTATACAATTATTACAGTATTGCATAACAGTAAATCTTCTATTTTTTGGTGTGAATAAAAATTCATTATGTGAATAAAAAATCAAAATGGAATTTATTTGTAAAGCCTCAAAATATAACTAATGAACAGAGGAAATGTTAGTTTAGTGCCAGGAATGCCTACATTGTTTATTCTGGACCCTATTTTGAAATTGGAATATTTTGAACTTTGTGTTAAATTGGCCAAATTAACAATTTCCGATCACTTTATTTTGTAGTTGAAACAGTTGACTTGGCAATTTCTTGTGCTCAGTCGATAGAATAGAAGTAATACTAGTGAAATAGCTAAGAATTTGGTTGATTGGAATAATGTAATTGGCCTAAAATGGGAGTCAAAGTCAGCAAAATCGCCGATTCGTAAATATCGCTGACACATCAAAATTCGCGAGAGCATAATTTCGTCAATTTTCACCAAATTTCGTACTTTTTGTTTTATTACCTTCACAAAAAGATTCTCTACAATTTCATAAGAAAAAATAACAAATTTTTTTTTTTTAAATTCTTGGACACTGGTGCGTGACTCCAGATTTGGGCCTTGGACCCTGAAAGGGTTAAACATATAAGAGAAATATAAGAGAAAATTTCAGAAAGGACTTAATTTTTAATGAGTTCTTGCTAACTGACCAGTTTTACATATTCGGCACGACATATATATATACAGTGGACCCCCGCATAACGATTACCTCCGAACGCGACCAATTATGTAAGTGTATTTATTGTAATAAAGTTGGTAGAATTACCGACAATATGTAAAGTGCAACTAATTGTCACATTAGTTGCACTTGTGTCCTTTTACTTTACAAAGTGTATTTATGTAAGTGCGTTTGTACGTGTATGTTTGGGGGTCTGAAATGGACTAATCTACTTCACAATATTCCTTATGTTAACAAATTCGGTCAGTACTGGCACCTGAACATACTTCTGGAGTGAAAAAATATCGTTAACCGGGGGTCCACTGTATATATATATACACATATATATATATACATATATATACATTGTATATATATATATATATATATATTATATATATATATATATATATATATATATATATATATATACATATATATATATATACAGTGGACCCCCGGTTAACGATATTTTTTCACTCCAGAAGTATGTTCAGGTGCCAGTACTGACCGAATTTGTTAACATAAGGAATATTGTGAAGTAGATTAGTCCATTTCAGACTGCCAAACATACACGTACAAACGCACTTACATAAATACACTTACATAATTGGTCACATTTGGAGGTAATCGTTATGCGGGGTTTTCTGTAAATTTTAAATTTGAATTCATTATTACCTTAATAATTAAAACATCTAGAAAAGGCAATGAGTTATTTTCTTCAAACTCAACAGTAAAGTTTATAGAATGGGCTAAGCTATTTAATTTTCCAAGAAAATGGTGTATATCTACATTTTTGGGCATAAGACACAAAATATCTGAACCATTTAGCTCTATTAGGGAGCTAAATAAATATAAATAAATAAATAAATAAATATATATATATATATATATATATATATATATATATATATATATATATATATATATATATATATATATATATATATATATATATATATATATATATAATATATATATATATATATATATATATATATATATATATATATATATATATATATATATATATATATATATATATATATATATATATATATATATATATATATATATATTATATATATATATATATATATATATATAATATATATATATATATATATATATATATTATATATATATATATAATATATATATATATATATATATATATATATATATATATATATATATATATATATATATATATATATATATATATATATATATATATATATATATCCTTCTGAAACAAGCAAATTACTTACCAAGTGGTATTAGAAAACCACAATAGAGAATAGAGTTTGCCTTAATGGTGTTAAGTGGAACAGAGCCTGGAGGCAGCTCATCCCCATCATCTGTGTACACCATTTCTCCCTCAATGTTGGCTGGCAAGCTGAACAAGGCTGCACTGTCAGTCACCACCCAGCTAGTCTGTTGCAGAAAAATATAATTATTACATGTCTTGAAAAAGGTGCAGAAGCTAGAGTAACAATAAACAAAAAGTGATATATAGAAAATAAAGACCAATTCTCCTTGCTGACTCATAAAATAATTAAAAGTTTATTTAACCCATTAACTGTCCACACGTAGATCTACGTTCTTACCGCTAGCACTCAAAATGTGCCAAATTTTTCATGCCTCCAAATCTGGCACGATTGGCCTGAGATGTCTGGTCAGCATAGACTGGTTCTTAACACTTGGTGTGCACAGTATTAACCCTTAAATGGTCCAAACGTATACATACGTTTTTTCAACATCTGAAAATATGTAAAAAAAGTAGATCTACTTTTGTAGCACTACGAATTTGAATGTCGATCTGTTTGGACCGTTTAAGGGTTAAAAAAATCTGGGACCACTTAGTACCTTGTGGGAACACCAGTTCAACTGAGTGCTTGCTTGAGCAAACAGTGTGGCAAACACCTGGGATTCACTGATGTCATGTAATAGTAACACTCCCATTTTAAGTGGAAAGTGATGTTGACCCTGAGTTTCATGGTTTTGGGGTGGATGTGGCCACAAGTGGTTGGGGAAATATCAAAAACCTTGATAATAACCCATGTGCAACATTTGTGCAATACCCTTTCAGAATATCTTATAACCTATGCCCTAAGTAAATTGAAACAATTCTGGAAAGTGTAATACGTGTTCGGCAGGCTGGCTGGTTTGCTGGCTGGTTGGGTGGCTGGCCGGTCGGCCAACTGACTGGCCAACTGCCTGGCCGGCTGCTGGCTGGCTCTATCTCTGCTTGTCTGTCTGTATCTATGTCTATCTCTGTCTATCTGTCTTACAGGTATACATAAATACAAATACAGTGGACCCTCAACCAGCGATATTAATCCGTTCCTGAGAGCTCATCGTTAGTCAAAATAATCGTTAGTCAAGTTAATTTTCCCCATAAGAAATAATGGAAATCAAATTAATCTGTGCAAGACACCCCAAAGTATTGAAAAACAAAAAATTTTACCACATGAAATATTAATTTTAATACACACAAACTGAAGAAGACATGCACAGTTACATGACACTTACCTTTATTGAAGATCTGGTGATGATTGATGGGATGGGAGGAGGGGAGACCGTTGATCTTGTTAGTGTTTAGAAGGGGAATCCCCTGCCATTAGCACTTGAGGCAGCAAGTCTTTTTCTGGGGTTACTTCCCTTGTTCTTTTAATGCCACTAGGACCAGCTTCAGAGTCACTGGACTTCTGTCGCACAACATATCTGTCCATAGAGGCCTGTACCTCTTGTTCCTTTATCCTAAAGTGTTTCACAACATTGTCAGTGTAATAGTCACCAGCACGGCTTGCAATAGCTGTGTGAGGGTGATTTTCATCAAAAAAAGTTTGCACTTTAAGCCACATTGCACACATTTCCTTAATCTTTGAAGTAGGCAACTTCTTTAATTTCTCTCTCCTCTCCTCCAAAGCAGTTTCCTCAGGTGTGGCCTCTTACTGTTGAAGATGATCTAGCAGCTCATCAGTGGTTTGTTCTTCATTGTCCTCCTCCACCAACTCTTCCACATCCTCCCCACTAACCTCACCAATATGAGCACTAGTTCCAGGCATTTTTTCCTGTTCACCTGGGTGTTAGTCAACTGTTGTGGGTCGCATCCTGGGGAACAAGATTAAGGACCCCCAATGGAAATAAGTTAGACAGTCCTCGATGATGCACTGACTTTCTTGGGTTATCCTGGGTGGCTAACCCTCCGGGGTTAATTGTTTCTCGGTAATTGTTTCACGTTAAGCCACACCAACAACACTCTCTCCACATCTTCGAGTAATACAGCTGATGGTGGTGCAGCAACAACAACAGCTGACTGTGATGCAGCAGCAGCTGCACCTTTGGCAAGAACAGCTTCCTTGATAGCCGTTTTCTTACCCACAATAGCAGCAATGGTTGATTGGGGTTTATTATACAACCTGACCAGCTCAGAGACATGCACTCCACTTTCATATTTAGCAATGATCTCTTTCTTCATCTCCATAGTAATTCTCACCCTTTTTGCTGTAGGGTTGGCACTAGAAGCTTTCTTGGAGCCCATGGTGACTTATTTTGCAGGTGCAATCACTACAAAGGCTGTGATAATATGAAATGTTCCAGTTGTTGTATGTTTGGAAGCGACCGCTGTGGCTGGCTGGCTTGTAAACACTGACACCCAAGGGACAAGTGAGGCGGAATGAAAAGCGCTGGTCGGGTTTTTAAGCGCTAGTCGAGGCAAAATTTTTGCATTTAAATGAATCGCTAGTCAGATTTATCGTTAATCGATGCAATCGCTAGTTGAGGGTCCACTGTATATATAGTGTAAATTACCTAGGATATCTCAAAAAATCCAGATAAAGTGCTATACTGTGCTTGTAGATATAAAGTGCAAGCAAGACTGCCAAATACGTATTTACACTTGATCCAAAACCAGACGTGATGACACAGTCATGTGTAATACCTGTTGGTTCACAAGTGGCTCTCTCTGAGACAGAGAGACAAGCAGAGAGACAGATAAGCAGAGACAGATAAACAGAGAGCTTGACAGACACAGACAAACAGACATGTTTATGTGTAACAGTGAAAACGAATAAAGCCAGGACAGTGGACACTCATCAAATGTCACCACTTATCTTATCACTGTACTGTCAGCAGTGGACTGACACTTGTGTTACAATATGCTTCAAGGGAACTTATTATTATTATTATTATTATTACAGTGGAACCTCTACTTGCGAGCACATCCATGTGCAAGTCTTTCCAAATATGAGCAGTTGATGGGTTGATTTTTTGCTTCCATACGCGAGCAAAATTTCCATTAGCGAGCAGACCTCAAGGGAAGTTCCTTGACGCTGGTGAGGGCCTCTTGCTCTTGATCTAGGGAATTGTATCTCATTTGTTTGTTGAACTATCTTATTGAAACTTGGGCAATGTATGATGGAAAGAGGCTTCTTAAAGTACACCAAAAATGAAAGAAATCGGAGCATAAATAATAAAGTTCACTTCTCAGCAATTAGCCACCCCTTAGTGGAATTTTCGTATGGTTTTTATGGTTGTATTCTTGTTTATTTATATTGTTATTTATATTGTTTGTTATGTCATATTAGATGAACTATGATAGATAAATAAGCCATATAGATGATATTAGCGAAATTATTCAAGAAGTATTTTGTCTGGTTTCCAGACAAACTGTCGTCCACCGCTGACACCGTCCATACCGTTACATGAATTACATATTTTATTCATTCTGAGTATATATAAGGTTTCTATCTTATTTATATTGTTTATTATGTCATATTTGATCAAGTGAGATAGATACATAAGCCGTAAAGTTGATATTAGAGAAATTATTGAAGTACAGAATTCCACTGGAAAGGATTAATTGCATTTCAATTAATTTAAATGAGAAAAATTTACTCTGCAAACAAGCAAATCCAGTTGGGAGCAAGGTCATGGAATGGATTAAACTCGCAAGTAGAGGTTCCACTGTACGTATTATTATTATTTAACAGATCAGCCATCACCCACTGAGGCAGGGTGACCCAATAAGAAAGAAAATCCCCAAAAAGAAAATACTTTCATCATTCAATACTTTCACCTCACTCACACATAATCACTGTTTTTGCAGAATCAAATCAAATCGAGGACGACGAGAGCTGTCGTAAGATGGGAAGGAAGAAGGATAAGGAAGGATGGAAATAACTGGAAAAGGATGGGAAGGAGGGGGAAGTGGAGGAATCAAGGCAAGTGGCCCAACCACTTTGGGACATGTGGTACCGAAGTACTGGAGGCGTAGATGGAGATGTATTTCGGGAATACTGACGAAGACGATGTAGAAGGCAACAGGAACTCAGCAGGTTCTGGCTGCATCTTGCTGGATGGATGATTACTGCAACTTGAATGATGATAGGTGGCTGCAGGCGACATGGAAGGAGCTCATCGTTGATTGGTCAGTTCATAGAGGTTTGGTGTTTACCTAGAGTCATGGCGTTGTTTTACGATTCAGTTCCGTTTTCAAGACGTTTAAAACGTTGTAGAGGGAGCAAATTTATACGTGTCAGCAAGTGTTTTTGGCTGGAATCTTCTAGTTGGTCTACAATGGCCTTTAGAATAGTAGAAAGTTCAATTGTATGAAGAGTTCCAGCTGAGCAGGAAGAATCGATGGTAAACTTGACTGTCTTTCCGATGAGGCGAGAATAAAGCTCATGATGATATTTTTCTTTAGTGTAGAAGTTGATTCCAGTCCATGAAGTATATTTTTTAATATCTTCATCTTTATCATGTCGAGAGTTGTGAGATGATGATTTTTTTGCTGTTTTTTCTTTTTTGTTAGGTATTGTTGTAGGAGGAAGTGAATATTCGTTGTCATCTTCAGTAGACGAATAGGAAGATGTTTCTGGTGACAAGGCTTCTGATTGGTCGGTTTCAATGAGGAGTGGTGGCGGTTAAGGCTTCTCATTGGACGTTGTTGGAGTGACGTCACTAGTTGATGGTGGTGTTGGATCTGCTACATCCAAGGTTGTGACTAAGTCTTTGGTGAATTTGAGAATTTCTTCAGAAGGTGGCGATGCTGGAAATGTGAATGATAACATGTTATTTAATGCAAATAACTCGTTGATGGTAGAGTTAAAAGATCCAGGTACAGCCATGTTCTGCACGTGAGCGTATAGTAGACAATAGTGGATCTTCGTTACGTCACATGTTGGAGGAGTGATGGTGGTGGAGGCGGGCTGAGTAGATGCTTGAAGTAATATTGTAGTGTCTGCTTTCAACTTTGCAATTGCTGCATACATTGGTGTGTTGTTGGTAGATTTTTTCTTTGTTGCATCTTGTTGTTTCTTCATAATATCCTTTCTTGTAGGACATTTTGCTGCCAATGTATGATGATCATTACTTTTGCAGTTTAAACACGCTGGTTGTGTTGGAGCGGCAACGGTGCAGGAACTGAAGGTGTGTCCCTCACTACCACATGTAGTGCAGAACTTCTTGTCTTATACTGGACATGCCTTGGTGGTGTGATGATATGAATAACAGTTCTAGCAATGTTGGATGTAGTG